AATGTAAAATGTAAAACAGAAAAAAATGGAAAGTGGACAGAGTGTCGTTATATTAGATGTATATACGCGTTAGTAATTAGCTAAGACCGTAACTTTGCATTCTCTTCTCGCTTTCTTCGGAAAACGACAGCCTTTCTTTGCCTTAACCATTTTTCTCTACATTCAATTCCATTCTCTCTTTCTCTGAATTCCCAACAAAATATAATATGCTCATCACCGGTTTCTCTCTCCCGCCTCTGCTGCCGGATATCTAACCACGATATCTTTCTCACCAGCCACCACCACCACCACCACCGCGTTCTCATCCACCATGTCACCGTCAACCGATTACACCCGCCACCCACGCGTGCAGGGCGCCGGCGAGGACGCCCTCCTATGGCCGTTCGGGGTGGTGGAAGGATTGGACGATGGCGATTTCCGGGAGGCCGCGTACGAGATTTTCTTCTCGTCATGCCGGTCGTCTCCGGGGTTCGCCCGGGGGACGGTGTCCTCTTACAGCCAGCCGGAGGCGCTAGACGGTGGCGGCAGCGCGCCCGGGTCTCCCAGCAAGTCTCCCGGGGCCGGGGTGGGGATGGCGGTGACCAGCCGGTTGAAGAGGTTGTTAGGGTTGAAAATGCAGAAACGGTCGCCGTCGCGGAGGGCGAGCAGCTCGGGTGGGCCCATCGTCGCAGCCAACACTTCCCCGTTGGCTCCCGGTGGGTCCCCCAAGTCCAGCAACAACACGCCTACGGCTACGCAGACGCGGGGGAGGAGGCCGATGACGTCCGCCGAGATCATGCGGCGGCAGATGGGGGTCACGGAACAAAGCGATAATAGGCTACGTAAAACTCTCTTGAGGACTCTTGTTGGTCAAGTACGTAACTTTAATTTAATTTCCATGCATGCATCTCATTTACATACAATACAATCAACAACCCTATCTAATAACTTCAAACCCAGAATTGGTAACCAAATAAGACGAAATTCCTGATTTTACCAAGTCTAAGTTGTCAAGGCATTTGCAGTATATAATTGATTAGGCTCTGAATATAATGCTTCATCATATCATCTAGCTGTCAAAGATTTGGGCATTTAATTTGTATTTATTAGCCTGTCAATGGTTCATCATATCATATCATATCATTGTTAATGACTATATGTGCAAATTAACAATTTAAGGTTGCCGGAGTAGACTAGTTCCAATTGACGGAATCCATATTCTGTTTCTTTTTTATGTTTTCTCTTCAGATGATGAGGGAAACGTGATATTCTCAAATAAATAGGGTTAATAGGTTGTTTTCAGTTGGAGTTAGAACTTAAAACTTGTAATTACAGACAGTCTGACCAATTTGGTTGGATCAGAGTTATCATTTTGGAGTGTTTTCTTGTTATTATAATGTTTTGTGGATTGGTAAACTTGGGGATATGATGCAGATGAACAGGCGAGCAGAGACAATCATCCTTCCATTAGAGTTACTACGCCACCTCAAATCATCAGAATTCATCGATCCACAGGAGTACCATGCATGGCAGAAGCGTCAGCTGAAGATCCTGGAGGCCGGCCTGCTCCGACACCCTTCAGTCCCCCTCGAAAAGAACAACCCGCACGCCGCCCGCTTCCGGGAAATCCTCAAGGCCGCGCAGAGCAAGGCGATCGACACCGGCAAGAATTCCGACTTGATGAAAGGCCTCGTCAACTCCGTCGTCTCCTTGGCCTGGCGGAGCCCCGACGGGTCCCCCGTCGACGTTTCCCACTGGGCCGACGGCTACCCTTTCAACGTTCACATCTACATCTCGCTTCTCGGCTGCATTTTCGACTTGAAAGACGAGACCCGCGTCCTGGACCAGGTGGACGAGCTTCTTGAGCTCATGAAGAAGACATGGTCGACGCTCGGGATAAACAAGGCCGTTCACAATCTCTGCCTCACCTGGGTGCTCTTCGAGCAGTATTTCATCACTAGTAATGCTACACATCTTATCACTTTTCTTATACTGCCATATATTTTATTAATATGTCTTAACCATTGAACATTGTTTTATTTAGTGAGTGGTTTTAATGTGTTACAGGCCAGGTGGAGCCTGATCTTCTGGGAGCGTCGCTAGCAATGCTTGCAGAGGTGGCGAATGACGCGAAGAAAGCCGACAAGGATCTTCTGTATGTGAAGATGCTGGCGAATGTTATGACCTCCATGAAACAGTGGTCGGAGAAGAAGTTGCTGGCTTACCATGAGAACTTCGACAGGGGATCTATGGGGTTGATGGAAGCCGTTCTCCCTTTAGTTTTCTCAGCCACCAAAATCTTGGAAGAAGACGTCCGGGGATACGCCGCCACCACTGAGAAAAGGGCATTTCCAGAGAACTACTCCGCAGGAAATCGGGTGGATAAGTTCATCAGATCATCCATCAGAAATGCATTCACAAAGGTGTTGAGACTTAGTTTGTGTTAGTTAGTCTTTTGTCTAGTCCTTTGTCTTGTGTAACTAGTTTCCTTCTTCTGTGAATTGTTCTCTATTTATTCTCTTTGTTAAATGATGAATAAACACATTCAGTTCTCACTCTCACACAGTTATAACATTAATTTGGTGTGGAACAGATGTTGGAAGAAAGGAACATAAACGCGAGGACGCTACAGATGCATGAAGCGAGCCAAACGCTGATAGAATTAGCTGACGGGACGGAGGAATTGGCCGGGAAGGAGAGGCAGATGTACAGTCCGGTGCTGAAGAAATGGCACCCGGTGGCGGCCGGAGTAGCTGCGGTGGCGCTGCACGAGTGTTACGGGACGCTGCTAAAGCAGTACTTGGCCGGCGTGACATCGCTCACCAATGAAACAGTTGTGCTGCTGCAGAAAGCTGGGAAGCTGGAGAAGGTGCTGTTGAAGATGGTGGCTGAGGACACTGAGGAATGCGAGGATGGAGGGAAAGCCATGATCAGAGAGATGGCTTCTTATGAAGTTGATTCAGTCGTCATAACCCTGTTGAGACAATGGATTCAGGAGAAATTGAAGAAGTGCAGGGAGATTATCCAAAGAGCAAAAGACACTGAGGCAAGTTCCAACCCCAATTAGACTGGTATTTGGTAATCACAAAGTTACAAATTCGATTCCCAAAGGAAGCGACCTATTAGATTTCTTAGTTATGGACAATTTTGGCTGATTTAGTGTTCATTTGTTGCTAAAGTCAATGGGCAGAATTTGGTAACTATTAGGTTACAAGTTGGATTCTCAACTGGAATGGCCTTTTGGCCTTCTTAATTTGAGCAAGTCAGCTATGGGTAACCTATGCTGGTTTACTTCCTTAACGTCTTTTACTGCCTAAGATCATAAGACGGAGTTTACCCGGTGCAACCCTTTAATGTCTTTTTAAGGTTCCATGTTTTTGTTTACTTGTTGCAGACATGGAATCCAAAGTCCAAGAATGAACCATACGCGCAGTCTGCAGTTGAGCTAATGAGGCAGGCCAAGGAAGTTGTGGACAGTTTCTTTGAAATCCCTGTTAGCATCTCTGAGGATTTTGTCAGAAACCTTGCAGATGGTTTTGAGCAGATTGTCCGAGAGTACATTACTTTCATCATATCATGCGGTAAAGATCTGAATCCAGCATTTCTGCATATATAATATATATAAACATAAATGTGCAATCCAACTATCAGACTTTTACTGTTTTCCTACAGGATCAAAACAGAGTTACATCCCTGCATTGCCTCCCCTGACAAGGTGCAGCCAGGACTCAAGGTTTTTCAGGATGTGGAAGAGAGCAGCCTGCAAAGTGGGAATAGACAGTGAGAACCAGAAGCTGATAAACGAAGGCAACCATCCCCGGCCTTCCACGAGCCGGGGGACGCAACGCCTCTACATCAGACTGAACACCTTGCACTATATTCTCTCCCACCTCAATTCCCTGGAAAAATCCCTGGCTCTGAACCCCAGAGTAGTCCCTTCGCCCCGAAGGCCGAGCTGTTCTTACTTCGATCAGGCCCGCTCAACTGTCCAAGTAGCCTGCCAAATCGTGTCAGAAATCGCAGCCTACCGCCTCATCTTCCTCGACTCCAACTCCGTCTTCTATGGCAGCCTGTACCTCCGGGATGTAGAGAACTCGCGCATCCGCCCAGCTCTAAGAATCTTAAAGCAAAACCTCACCCTTCTATGCGCAATTGTGACCGAAAGGGCACAACCAATTTCCATCAAGGAAGTCATGAAGGCCTGCTTCGAGGCCTTCCTCATGGTCCTCCTAGCTGGGGGGAGCTCCCGGGTGTTCACCAGGGCGGATCACGAGCTCATCGAGGAGGACTTCGACAACCTTAAGCGCCTGTTCTACACATGTGGGGAAGGATTGATGGCAGAAGATGTGGTGGACAAAGAGGCACAAGCAGTGGAAGGAGTAGTGGCACTAATGGGGCAATCAACTCAACAATTAGTCGAAAACTTCAGCCTTTTGGCCTGTGAAGCCAGTGGGATAGGGCTAATGGGGCCTGGGCAGAAGCTCCCAATGCCCCCAACCACAGGAAGATGGCACAGATCAGACCCCAACACAATCTTGAGAGTATTATGTTATAGGAATGATAAAGTTGCTAACCACTTTCTTAAGAAGAGTTTCCAGTTGGCCAAGAGGAGGGGCTGAGAGGAAATGGCTGCAAATATTCATAACTTCAGTTCACTGTACAGCATAACAAGTACACAACAAAATAAACATACATTGCTTTTTTAAGGAAAATCTGCAGATTTTATTAGTTTTGTCTAATCTTAGGTAACACAACATTCCCAAAACTAATGTCATGGATACACTTTTTCATTTTTCTTTAATTTTTCTGTTTTTGTAAGATTCCAGGTTCTTATTTTTCTGAATATCATGATACAACAAATTGGTTTAGTTTGACACAAGTGTACTGAAATTTTCATCATATTTACTCGTGAATCGTGAGTCGTCTAATCAGCCTTTCCAGTCAGTCCCTGTCTTGTCTGGAAAAATGAAAAATTCAAAAAAAAAAAAAAAAGGGCTATATATAAGCTGAAAAAAGATGTGTTTGTACTGAAACAAGAAATATAATATAATGTTCTTAGTTAATTAGTCTATTTCCTGGATGTTTCTTGGCTATTAACTTTGTGTTTTGTCCCAACCTCCAACTCTTGTCTCAAGACAACCATGGAGTCAGAAACCTCAGCCTTGTACACATAAAACCTAGACACAACTAGGAAGAAAATGAAGTTGAGGGCATTAAGTATCGCGAAGAAGGCGTAGTAGTAGTCGAGGTGGGAGGCGTTGAGGTTGTTGAGGATCCATCCTCGGTGCCCGTTCCTTTTTGTGATGCGCGAAACATTGGAGAGCAAAACACTGCTGAGGAAGTTCCCAACTCCTAAGGTTGTCATGGAATAGGATGTCCCCAAGCTCTTCATGCTCTCTGGTGCTTGGTCATAGAAGAACTCAATCTTGGCGACTTCGAGGAATGCGTCAGCAGTTCCCATCAGGATGAACTGAGGGAGCAAGATGAATATGGATAAGGGGACTTGGCCTCCATTCTCGACGACGCCATGGTCTCTAGCCACACTGAGCCTGTACTTCTCGGTTAACGAAGCCACTACCATGATGACAATGTGGAGAGCTGTACCTATTCCCATACGTTGGAGAAGATTTATCCCTCTCGGGTTTCTAGTCCATTTCTTGATGAGGGGGACGAAGAACCGGTCGTATATAGCAACTGAGACGAGCAGCGATATGGTGACGAAACCGGCTAGACTGGCTGGAGGGATGTTGAAGTTGCCTACTCTTCTGTTGAGAGTGGTGCCTTGCTTCACAAAGAGTGTGTTGATTTGTGCAATCATTGTGCTTGGGATGAATGTGGCTACCAAGATTGGTAGCATTTTTAGCATTTGTTTGGTTTCTTCTATTTCTGTCACTGTGCACAGCATCCATGGACTTGTGGAACCTGTTTTCACACCAGCCTTGTCCATAAACCTACACATATATAGTATTAGTTAGAGTGTGGCACCAAGTTTAAGATCAAATTATCTCTAACAAAGGTGATCACGAGTTGATTCAGCATCGAACTAATCCTGAATTGACCCTTGATCCTAAATCAGTCGGGCTCGGGAAATCCCAAGCTAACTTGACCTAAGAGTCTAAGACTACCCTATATAGAGGGGCGGTATGTTCAACACCGCCAACTCTAATTGGCCCTTGATCCTAAGTCAACCGGGCTTGAGAAATCCCGAGCTTGGCCTAAGACTATCGGATATATATAATGTGTTATATAATTATATAACACCATAATGCTTGTGGTGTGAGTAGGAGTAGGGGTGACAGATTATACAGATTGGTATGTTGGTTACAAAAGTCATGAGGTCAACCAGTATAATTTGGGTACCCCTTAGAGGCTAAACGGCGTGATCCATTTGGGCTGGGTCGGAGAAATATACAGTCCGACCCGCCTAAAAAGGGGCTAAACTGGTCTAATTCGGCAAATTGGATCATTTTTACGGCTCTAAATATGGGTACTCATCCCTAGTTTTCAATTTTAGTTCAGATGGTTCAGTCTGTCTGATAAACCCGACAACCTAAGGTCTAGAGTTAGGGCCCACTCAAACCCAATAATAAAATAATCGACAAGCCCGACAACCTGACAAGGCTAGCCCGAAATCGAACGGGCTGACCCGATTGACATCCCTATACTGAGAGGCGGTAGGTTCAGCACGGAACCAGCCCGGGTTTGAAAATTTCATACTTGACATACATACAATTCTCTTGTAGATTCTAATACAAACCTCAAAGATGTTGTAGAATCAATTCTGTATTTCCCATTCTTGGCATACTCATCCAAGTCAAGTTCATACAATTCCTTAGGGTCAGCAGGGACTGGTACACTCCACTTCCTAAGGGCAGCAACTATGACCCTAGCCATTCTTGTAAATGGGCTTCCACTGGGCTTCTTGTGCCTATAGAAAGGTGTTCCTGCCAAAAATATGAGTATGGATATCGCCAGGCCCGCGGTTGGGAGCCCATACCCAAGGGTCCAGCCCACATTGTCTTGAATGTACACCAAAACAGTGTTGGCAAAGAGTGTGCCAAAAAATATGCTAAACATCCACCAGTTGAAGAATGAGAGCTTGTGACCTTTCTCCTTGGGGTCATGCTCGTCGAATTGGTCGGCGCCAATCGTTGATATGTTGGGCTTCGTGCCCCCGGTGCCGATGGCTAAGGTGTAGAGTGCCCCGAAAAAGACGGCCAGTTGCAATGTGGTTGCCTTTGGACAGTCGGCCGCATTCGGGTCGGAACAATGGGGAGGCTTTAGGCCATGGATGGATACCGCTAGTGTCAATAGACCCATTCCCTATGATCAATTAGAGTATATCACGTTAGTAAAGAGTAACGAATAAATAAATAATTGTGAATTTTTCTGGTTATCCAAAAAAAATTAAGAATAAGTGTGTACTATTTTTTAAATGATTAAAATTCAGAATTGATTTTTCGACCTATAAAAATCGTTTCACTTTTGGTGTTTGTAACATGGAAACGAGAAAAAGGGAAAAAAAAAATAATTTTAAAAAATATAGAAAACAAAAGTGGTGAAATGTAGCATGGAAATGGGGAAACAGGAAAACAATAATTTCAGAAAATACAAGAAACGCAACACTGGAAAAAGTGAAAATATAAAAACATAGGTGTATATTGTTAGTATTTTTTTAATATGCATAAATATTGATTATTTCTTAATTAAAAATAAAAAAAATGGTCAAATACACCGTCAAACTTTATCTAAGAAGTCAATTAGGTCATCAAAATTTGAAAGTAGTAATTACACACATTAACATATTAATTTAGTGTATCAAAGCTCAAAATCCTAATAGTGACCTGCAATAGTAGGTCAATAATGCACCAGCAGAGCTCCGATAACATTCTGACAAACATGACTTTTTCTAGAAACCAAATGACGGAGATGGCAGCCAAACCGGTTGCCTTCTCTGTCGTTGGAGATGATGACCAAACTGATCGCCATCTTTATCAATTGGAGATGCCTTCTCCAGTCAACTTTTGATTATTTAAAAAATGACACATAAACATTTTTGAAACGAGTTTTGAAGATGAAATATTTTAAAAAGGAAAAATTTCTGTACAATATATCCAATCAAATTATTTTCAATTTATGAAACATTTATCAAACTTAGCTTCACTCTACTACATGTAGTAAGAGTATTTTGTATATTGAGTATGGAATATTTGAGAAAGTCATATAAAATTGAACAAAATCAATGTCAATCGCTACTCATGAAAATAACATTACGGTCAAAGTATTTTGACAACTAGTGAATTAATTTTTTTAACATTATTGTCGAGCTGATCTTGACGTTTGAACTTACTGACATAAAATTAAAAATTTTAGTAAGGGACCAATATTGCAATAACTTAGAACCAATCTAAAAATAAAGTGAAACAGCTAAAGATAATAATTTTGTACGCCTGATAGCGAATATTGAAATCAACTCATCACCAATAATTGAAAGCTTCACTTTTTTCTTTTTCTACATTAAACAAAATAAACCCATGCTATATATTATGTGATGGGAAAATTTGTACAATATTAAAAATATATCATGTCTATATATACTATTATTATATTATTATAAATATAAAAGAGACACTAACATTTTTATAACTGTGGCTCTCCCAGATGGGAGATTACAGGTTCGAACTTGAGTGAGTGCATAATATTACATTGTAACAGAGATAATAGTACTAAAAAAATATTTTTATAATTATACACCACATATATTTTTTAAAATTAAAATCATGCATGATTTAGGACCAAATTAAACAATGATCCCACTTGTTGGTTGTCAGTTTCAGTAGAAACAAAATGCCCAAAGAAAAAGAAGAAAAGAAGACCTTTCGATAGTCAGATCCTAGCTAGCTGCTAGCTGTACAGAAAACACAGTTAACTACTGCTACTGAATTCTTAAAGATGGCCACATGGTTAGTAGCCACTAAACTATTCCTATGATTATTGCATGCTTTCTTCTGATTAAGATAATCATTAAATTTGTTAATTACTGAATCTCTGCAAATTATATGTATATATTATTGCTTATCCGGCAACACGACAAGTCAACAACTTTGCTATTGTGTTCAAACTAAGTAACCTGAATTTAAAATTCATTGTTTCATAGAACAATTAAAGTTATATACTTAAAAAAAAATAAAAATCATTAGATATTCAAATGAGGACAAATTTTAATTAATGTCTTAATTTTCATTAATTGATTGTCAAATCAAGAAAAAGTTTTTATCATTTTTTTTTTAACTCTACAACACTCTACGAGTCATTATGCATGATACTTCGTACTTCATTACTAATAAAGAATTATGAAAATTGTTTTTATAGGTGCACAATTTTTTTAAAAATCACTTTTGGTAACTCTGATAAGTATTGTAATTGTGAAATGCGAAGAAGATAGAGACCATGTTTGGTAAATGGTTGTTAGCTGATTGAATTAATTAGAGGGTCGGGTATAACTAGTTGATAACATTAGCTGATTGTAAAAATATATTTGGTAAATTAACTGTTAGCTGATAGCTGTTTGATATAATTTATTTTCTCAAAAAGTTAATTGAAAAATTGCTTTGAGTATCTTTTTGAATTTTAGCATTTTGAAAAAAAAAAAAAAAAACTAATTAACCAAACATTTATATTGATTTTTAAACTAAGTCAAACAACTAACAGTGGTCAAATAAATTAACATTAACTTATAGGTTAACTATTTTACCAAACACGACCAGAATCCATACAATAATGTTACATTAGAGAAGGAAGGAAGGAAAATATAAGGAAATTGAAGACAAAATAATGTAAGGCACATACCGAAAGATAAATAGCACAGGCGATTAAGAAAGTCCAGTAACGACCGAGAAAAGCGTCGGCCACGTAGGCACCCAAGATTGGGGTCATCCAAATGGTGCCAACCCAATTTGTAACATTGTTGGCTGATTTCACAGTGCCTTGATGCAGCTTCTGGGTTAAGTATAGAACCAAGTTTGATGAGATCCCATAATATGCCATTCGTTCAAATACTTCGTATACTGTTAAAAAAAAAAAATCATCTCGGTTAATCTCGCAACACGTTTGATTATAGCGAAATTATCAATTTGATTCTAAGTTAACAGATGTCTAACGGCAAAACAAGCGGAGAATCAAATTGGTTAAGATTTTTAAAGTTGAGTGACTTAATTGGTCAACAAAAATAGTCAAGGACTAAATTGGTAATTTTGTTATAGTCAAGGGACCATTTTGATAATTAACTTAGTTGCAGGACATTCTCAATATTCAAACTCAAGAACTCTGATTTTAAGGTAGCAAAACTTATGTAATGATATCATGCACGTACAATTGGTACCACATTATTGCAAGTTGGTTGGGAAATAATTGTGACAAAGAAGCACATATATATCCAAGATTTGAAATAGAAAATGGAGGCCCCGGCCTACTGGCAACTTCAACCTCTATTTACTTCTGTTCATTAATTACATTGATATTTTCAATAATAACAAAGGGAAAGATTAAAAAAAAATGTGATACCTCGCGATATATAGAATAATTGGTTCACAACCAATCAATTAATATATAAATAGGTCATGACTTTGTGGTTTAGTAATACGAAGTGGGTTTCTCAAATGGGGAGGTCATGAGTTTGAGTCTTCGTGGGTATGATATTAACTCTGTGTTTTAGCAGATTGAGAAAACAGATAAGATAATTTTACCTCAGTCAACTATAAAGTTACTGGCTCTATTACATTGTAATATCTGTTCATATACTTTCTGAACCTACTGAAACACAAAGAACCAATAAACGCCTCCACTGAGGCTCGAACTCATAATCTTCCAAATGAAAGTCCAACTCGGGTACCATTAGACCATATAGTCCTGATAGGGAGTATTTTCTTTTATTGAATTGTATGATTTAATAATTTTTGTTTTTAAAAAAATTTAAAAATAAATATGAGGAGTTAGAGCACATGTAGTTTAGATAGACGAGAATCTATTCTATCTACTATATATGTAATATGTTAGGTCAAAAGTGTGTGAAGAGGATGACCAAACTCAAAGAATGCGCCCGGCAAGGTTGGTGTTGTGGGGAGCAGATTTATTTGACTGATTTTGACTTGGAGAGAGATATATATGTGTTAGGGGAGGAACCAAAATATTTTCTTAGAAAGGGAAAAAATCCTCTATATATATATATATATTCCAAATTTCTCTTTAATATTTTTTTGATTTTGAAAATATTATCTTTTGAACAAACAGACATATATTTGGAAAATTATACTCCGTATTTAATATATTGATTAAGTGATATATGAAAATATTTTTATTTTGGAAAGTTATCACTTTTTGTCAACGACTTATAAAGAAATAACATTTTGCATCTTTCAATTATATATGTTATTTTTTTTATCCCTCAATTGTCTAAAAAATAATTTTTTTTTTTTATCCATGAGTTTTATTTGGATTATGTTAAATAAGTTACTTCACAAATAATTAAATGACAACTTAACAATTGTATACTTGAAGAACAAAAAGTACTATTTATTTATAATTTATGGATGAAAATAATTACTTTCCCTTTGGTTTTTGTCCATTATAAATATATTATAAATTTTCTCTTCCTTATATTTGCTAATAATAAATCCATTAAGTTTATAAAATGTATTTTAGATAATGAGTTATAAATAAATAAATAAATATATATATATATATATATATATATATATATATATATATATATATATATATATATATTTATTTATTGAGTATTCTTTTCTCTAACATGACCTCAATACATAACCTTTTCTCTAAATTTAGGTCTCAAGGAATTTAAAGAAAATAAATATTAAGTGGCTTCAACCTATACTAGTGTAAACTAACAGGAAATTGTGTTGTTACATTGGCAGGGGTGAGAACAAAACAACATCGGAGGTACGACCCATGATAGTTGTGTTTGTTTCTTTAATTGACTTAACAGTGAATGTTATTTATAGTAAACTATATAAATAGTAAATAAGTAGCCAGTCAATATTGGCTCATAAAATGGTACATCATTTTAGATGCAAGGTGGACCCTGATTCGCGATATAGATTAAAAGCAAAGTTTATTTACAGACATATAACATGTTAACAGTAACACACACACACACATACACACATACATATATATATATATATATATATATATATATAACATTTTGGATGAGATTCACACTGAAAGATGGACCTTGATTCATGACCTAAATTAAATTTCTGTCACGGGAAACAAGAAAGCAAGGCTTGAGTGTTTGCTTTTTTTTTTTTTTTTTCTTTGTTTTTATTTTATTTTTCAACTGAGATCCTCCTCTAGTGAAGATTCGAACTCGGATAATTGTTGAACACGACATTCACACTCAAACTTTTGACCACTGGTCTATGATACTGGGGCATTGAAGAATATAATGTAAATTCTCATGGAGTGTGTAACTTTAGAAGGTGGAGAGAGAAAGAGAGAGAGAGAGAGAGAGAGTACCAACAACAAAGGAACAGGCAGTCCAGCCACCTCTCTTGGATCGAAGAACAGGGTTGCCCCTGAGGTCAACTGTTCCATCTTTTGTGTAACCATCATCAACCCCTTTCTCTTCTACACTTGCCATATATATAGATATGTGTATATATACACAGCCAGTTTCTTACTTTTAAAGTGTTTGCTATGGCACTATGGCAGTAAAGAGTGGCACCTTTTTATAGAATCTCAGCTCCCATCTCTTTGCTAATAGAAGACAACTTTCTGTGTTTTCGCATTGAATAATATTCCAAACAGGAATAGTGGAAACATATTTGGTCCAAAAGGTCCCTAGTTTGTATCTCAATTCACACTTTTACCCCTTTCAATTGGGATAATTTCAAGACAGTAATAAATGGCAAATTATATCCTACCTAGTAGACCTGATCCAAAACGATGTCGTCATTAATAGCATCCAAATTAGGAGAGAATTTGGGATTATTTCTTATATTAAATTTCTCAAACAAAGTTAATAATTGATGGGGGGAAGTGTTATTTAAAAAATAATTAGTCTGCAAATGTTGAAATAATGTCAGGGAGAAAAACAAACAAAACAAAACAACAAAAGTTGTGCGCGTTCACGCACAACCAAATGCTGACATCGCGCCTGACGCAATAATTTAAAAAAATAATAATAATTTCAGCTTTCTCCTTTTTTTTTTTTTCCTCCCCTCCCACATTCTCTTTCCTAATCAATCACTTTAACATTCTCCCCCTAATATCCCCAGCTGATAATGTTGCTCTTATATATACTAGTATTTGCACTCGTGCGATGCACAGAATGGATTTGTTGTAATATATTAAGAATATATGAATCGATATATAATTATTTAAATTAAAACATCAAATGTTATATAGTGTAATTAAATATATGGTTTGGATCATTTATATATTTTGATGTTAACATTGCTTGAATTTGTGCAAATAATTACTCAAATTAAAGCTAATGTCTAGATGCACGCATGCGGTGCTATAAGCCTATAATAACTTTGAAGATTTTATTTATCATTGTTTAGTATTTTCATAAATTAGACAAATGTGCTCGTTCTCTAACAACTCAGTTATAGAAATGAATTGTTATCCTTCTTTCCAAACTTCACCTCTATGACCAGTTGAGCTGCCCATGCCGGCATGGATTGCTATTTTTATTCATTTGTATGGAAGATACATTTTTTTGTCTAGATATATAGCAATTTTTTCATTTAAAAAAAAAACTTAATATCACCGATTATATTTACACATTATCGAAACCTCTTTGTAGAAGACATTGGTAGTGACAACACAATCTTGTTCATCTTCGTCTAGAGCTAACACCTTCAATCCATCAGAACAGGTTACTTGGGTAAAAATATGTAATGGTAGAATATCACTCAATTAATTAACCTTTTACATTTTCAGTCAATTAGTAATATCAGATTCATTTTCAGCCAATTATTATTTTTTTTTTCAATCAATTAGTCAATTAGAATATTTTTGCAGTGATATTTTTACATAATTTTTGTTCCATTTTTAATTGATGATGTAGATATTATTATTGAAATATTTCCGTTCCATTTTTAATTTACAATTACTATTGTTTAAAATATGCATTTACTATTGATAATGTAGAATATTATTATTGAAATATTTTCCTCTAATTTTAAATTTCCATTTCATTTTTAATTAAAATGCAATGATCTAACCATTTTTTTTTTTATTTTAGTCAATTATGAATTATTTTTTATTTACAGTCAATTATTAATATTCATTTCTTTTTATATTTTCAGTCAATTAGTAATATTAGATTCATTTTTCAGTCAATTATTTTAGCCCAACCAATTGAAATATTTCCGTTCAATTTTAGTTTCCCTTCCATTTTTAATTAAAATGCAATGATCTAACCATTTATTTTTTTCACATTAGTCAATTATGGATCATTTTTTATTTGCAGTGAACTATTACTATTCATTTCCTTCTATATTTGTTAAAGATTTATGACACAATTGTGATTTGATGTATTATACTGTGTAATATTATTGTGAAAAATTAAAATGCAATGATCTGACAATTTTCTTTTCTATTTTAGTCAATTATGGATCATTTTTTATTTTCAGACAATTATTAATATTCATTTCTTTTTTCAATTAAGCTAATTTTTGTTCCTTTTTCTATCTTTAATTTTCTGCCAATTATTAATGTTTATTCCTTTTTTCAATTTACCTCATTTTCATTTCATTTTTAATTGACGATGTAAAATATTATTGTGAAATATTATTGTTCTTTTTTTTTTCCATCCTTTTTTTAATTTATCTGTATTATTTACTATTGTTTGGGCGAAAAATCAAGTAAATAAAATATTATTTTTACTTATAGTATAGATTTTTTTTTTCTTTTTCTATTGATTGGACGGGAAAGTAAGGAAAGAGTATTTTGTTTTTAATAGTAGTATAGATTGATAATCCTTTTATATTTTCCTATTTAACTGATTATTATTAGTATTAATGAGTGAATTTCGTTTCTTTTTCTATTTTTAGTAAATTATAGATAATTTTTTATTGTTCTATTTTACTGATTATTATTAGTATTAATTAATCAGTGAATTTCATTTTTTTTTTCGTAAATTAAGGATCTTTTTTTATTTTTCAAATTTTTTGGTAAGATTTTTTTTTTACTGTTATCCTTATTATGACTTTTTTTAACAACCATTCGTTTCCTTTTTTCATTTTTATTGAATTAAGAATCCCTTTTTTTTTTTCAATTTTACTGATTATTATTAGTATAAAAAAAATTATTAGTATTAATCAGTGAATTCCGTTTCTTTTTCAATTTTAACATGGGAGTTTCAATTCAATGGTTTGAGAGAATTGCAATTTCCTCCAACCAAGCAATGAAATTTCTATTGTTGTGGAATTGCAAAGGAATGAAATTTATGCGTACCGAACACCTTGTTAATTAGTCTTTAGCTATCGTGTTATAAGTTTGAACCCCAAACATAAATGCTCATCATCACTTTTATCTTGAGGACTAGTAGAAGAGGTAAATCAGGTTGTGCCTCAACTGTTTATTAATTAACTTAGTTTGAGTTGATTGATCAGTTAAGTTGTGCCGCACGGACTTTGATTTCTGTGTCATTTTTATCATATTTATACATTTTTTTATTTTAAAAATTTTATCACATCCATGACTTTAATTTACTTGGCACAATCAATCCTTCGTTTATATTTATATTATTCCATTGTTTATAAAGATAACTAACATATGATTTTTTTTTTTTTTTTTAAAGGATAACTAACATATAATATCCTCGTTCGATTAAAAGAAATAGTGAAAGAGTGAGATAAATTGCATATTGAGGTAATAGACTTAAATAATGAAATTATATGTTAGCATTCTTTGTTAATACTGGAATACCCGAAATTAAATTAAAATATTGATTGTGGCAAATAAATGTAAATATTGAGAATCAATGTGAAATTTGCTCATTGTAAATATATCCATCGCATTAATTTCTTTCTATATAAAGTCAATAGAATATTCTTTTGCCCACAATAGGACTCTCTTTTAATTTATGTTATCATCACAATGGATACATAGTCATCAATTACATATATGTTCCATTAATTTACCTATCTTATTTACTATCCATTAATCAAATTAATTTTTTTTTTCTTTACTTATTTTTTACTATTTTTAAATTTAATTTTGTATGTTTAATAGTACTTTTAATGTAGTTTCTAAAATATAAATTTAATATACTAATATTAAATACAACATTGTAAAAATTTGAATTAAAAATAACTTCAGTCAAATCTCATTAACAAAATCAGACATATAATATAAGGCGGAGGGAGTATTAAATAAATATCATGACTTCCTTTTTGATAATAAGGAAAATGTGTAACTACTATTTGAGAATAATGTACAAAGAGTAAACCTTTCTTTTATTTTCTCTGTGGAGGATGGCCAAAATATCTCTTATATCATTAAAGTAAAAGATAATTAAGGAATAAGGTTCAAATTGGCCACTGAACGTAACCTGAAAATGCAATTAGGCCACTGAACGAAAAAAGTGCAATTAGGCCACTGAACACTCAAAAAATGTGCAATTTCACCTGATAGCAGGTTACCCTCAATTTTAGCAGGTTATCTGCTTACGTGACAGCTGAGTTGGCATTTTTAATAAATTTTAAATCATTTTTAATAAATTTTAATAATAAATTTTTATTTAAAAAAATTTTAAAAAAATAAAAACGACTTTATTTTATTTTTTATTTTATTTTTTTTTCAATTTTTTATAAAATTTATTATTAAAATTAATTATTAAAAATTATTAAAGACCATTTAAAAATTATTAAAAATGTCAACTCAGCTGCCACGTAAGCAGGTAACCTGTTAAAATTGATGGTAACCTGCTATCCGGTGAAATTGCATACGTTTGGAGAGTTCAATGGCCTAATTGCACGTTTTTGAAGTGTTCATTGGCCTAATTACACTTTTTATTCGTTCAGTGGCCTAATTACATTTTCAGGTTACGTTCAGTTGCCAATTTGAACCTTATTCCGATAATTAATTAACACTTATGTGTTATATTTTGGAAAGAGAAGTGGAAAACAAAGCAAAATCAATAGTCAATAATTTTGGCTATTGATTTGATGGGTTATGTTGGCCCGTCGAGTGATTACTTCGAATCACAAAATTAACCGTGGACAAAAATAAGGTTAGAATAAAGTAGGAATTAAAATTATATTGTTTGGTAGAAATGAATAGAATTAATAGAAATTGAAACGAAAGAAGTGATATAAAGACTAAAATGTCCTTGTGTAATAATAATAATAATAATAATAATAATAATAATAATAATAATAATAATAATAATAATAATAATAATAATAATAATAATAATAATAATAATAATTATTATTATTATTATTATTATTATTATTATTATTATTATTATTATTATTATTATTATTATTATTATTATTGGAGGCAAATTTGTCAACACATATTTTTTTCTTTTCCATGAGTTGTGGAATTGCATTTTTTTTTTCCCGGGGGACACATAGGAGTTCCAACTCAATGGTTTGAGGGAATTGCAATGCCCTCTGACGGTAATAATGTTACCGGAAATATAATATAAGAGTAACGAATAGTTGTATTGCTTTTGTCTCAGTATAGAAAGTACAGTGTGCCCCCCGCTCAGCTGAGGGAAGTTC